AATAATAAAAAAAAACGAAAGAATATTAATCTACAACCCAGTGTGTCTGAAGATTTTAATTTTTTAATATTCTTTTATTGTTCAAAATATATATATATATATATATGTTATGGTCCGATTCCTTGTACCACGGTGATAGTCCAAGGTAGAACCAATAAAGAAGAACTCGAACACAGGTATGGAATAACAAAGATATATTACAAACAGGAATATATACAGAGAAGTAGAAGTGTTAGTATGAACAATCAGGTTTAGTAGAGGTGTAGTCTCGACCAGTATCACTATTCCAATGCCTTGCAGTAATTGTCTGAACGAGGCTCTGTTTCGGACTGCCTCTGACTCGACTTGAACTACTGACGATATTCAGTCACCCCCCACCACCCCGCGAAGGCGTCAAGTGGCACAAGGCCGGTTTAACGTGGGATCTCCGAGCCTGTGGGATCTTCGAGCCTGTGGGCTCGGCCAAAATTATGCCCATTTAACCCGTATAAACGGGTTTAGGGTCGGTTTACCTCCCCGAAAGAGACTCCGCACTTCGGCGTAGCCTCGTTCGGGTTGCTCCCCGCCCGAAGGCAGAGAGTTCAACCGAACAGCCGGTCGAGAAAGCGAACGACTTACTTGTTGGCTACTCCTGAGGCGTAGTATTTATTAAGTATGGAATAGTCCATTATTATTATTATTATTATTATGGGTAAGATCCCATAACAATATATATATATATATATATATATATATATATATATATGTATATATATATATATGTGTGAGATAACGATATTTTTCTATTGTGGAAAAATGTTTTCGCATGAAGCGTTTCGACCATTAGGACTTCATCGGACTAAATTTGGAATCTAAATAAAAGATTGTATGAACAGAAAAGGTAAATGTTTGCAAAACAACACATTAAATACATTAGTTGCTCTCTGTAACGAGACTGACCGCAATTTTGACCTAAAAAATATTACTCTGATCAAAGGAAAACACATTTCGCTAAAACGAAAATTACAACATCGAGCGACGACAGATGGCCTTAAGACTGCGTTCAATCATGAAACACAATGCTGACCTCAGTGTCCACTTTTATATAACCTGCAATCTATCTGTTATTGAGAACCATAAATACAGAATACCTTTAGAGCCAAGTGGATAGAACGTTCGCTTTCGGACCATGGGACTCCGGTTCGAATCTCATCATGATCAATTTATTTACATGACATCCATGCGTTACCAGTGTTTGGAAAAGACCTGAAAACAATGATGTGGGTTGACCCAAACCTTGCGAGGGAAATAGGGAAGAAGGAAATAATTTCTCCTAGCACGAGCCACGGCGTACTGGCCTTTTTCACGCCAGATGATAAGCTCTTTTCCAGAAACTATAACTAAGATCCGCTCAGCATAGTTGAAATATAAACTACAGGTGGGTGTTGAACAAATACAAATGTGCCTGAGCAGGCGTCTGCAACCGGGAGAGTCACGCCGCCCTAGTAGACAGGCACACTCAAATACAATCAGCCAGTCACCATATATATAATTAGTCATACAAAGAACAAATCATTAAAGTTCATGTCATTAATGGCAAATTCACTTCGCTGACAGATTTAATAAAGCATTTACTTACTAACCACTTGTTGAATGACGCGTCCCTTGTTTTTAGAAATTGTAAAATGAATTAGATGTTCCATCAATTTGCAAGTACTTTCGATAATTCAATTATCATCATCAGGCATGGATATTATTATTATTTTTTTTCATTTTCAGTTAACTTCCAATTCATTTTACATTTTTTAAAAACAGAAATAGCTACATACAACGAATTGTTCGTAAGTTAATGCTTTATTAAATCTGTTAACGAAGAGAATTCACGATTAATTACATTAACTTCACTGATTTATTCTTTGTATGACTATTTCTTTATAATATTAATTGTACTTCAACACACACACACATATATATATATATATATATATATATATATATATATATATATATATATATATATATATATATATATATAATAAAAAAGGCTTAAACACAAATATTCCATGGTTATAATTTATTACATTTGAATCGTAATTACGATCCAATTCATCAGATTCCAATGTAATAAATTATAAACAAGGAATATTAGTGTTTATAAATTTTATTATATCCTATACTCTGTCCTGGACATTGAGTTCTACCTGGCTTCTATCCTCTTGAAATTTATATATATATATATATATATATATATATATATA